ACCAGATCCTGAGTGGACAGGCAGTGGAAGGACTGGTTCAGTTTTCCAGTAGAGTTAATGCACGGTACTGTTGCTACTTCAGCCATCATTAGATTGAGTATTATTTTTGCTTCCAGGAAACCTCAGATATGGGGGTGTTTCACACAGGCTGTCTCTTCCTCTTTTCAAAGCATCTCGGGGATATCTGCACAAGCAATGCAAATGTGAGAAATTAATGTCAAATTTACCAGGGTAATACATTCAAGACAGACAGACAGACAGACAAAGAGCTGTTTTCTACCAATAGTCTGTTCATATGCCTACCACTTTGTTACAAAAAAATGGGCTTGGGTAAGAGCTCAGCAAATGGCTGTGTCCACTTCAAATGCATCAGAAAGGTATTGGGAAGTTAAGAAGATCATCGGGGAATAATTTTGTGTCATTGATGATGTTCATTTTCTCCCAGTCTGATTTAAGGTCTTGTCCACTGTTCTAATGAGTCCTGTGCGGCTTGTGGGCATTGTAGAGGGAATAGAAGACAAATATGCATTCCTGAGAGTCTTACAGTGCATTCGGAAAGTATTCAGACCCCCTTGACCTTTTCCATTTTTTTTACGTTACAGACTTATTCTAAAATTGATTAAATTGTTATTTTCCCCTCATCAATCTACACACAATATCTCAAAATGACAAACCAAAAACAGGTTTGTAGACATCTTTGCAAATTTATGAAACATACAAAATGGAAATATCACATTTACGTAAGTATTCAGACACTTTACTCAGTACTTTGTTGAAGCACCTTTGGCAGCGATTACCGCCTCAAGTCTTCTTGGATATGATGCTATAAGCTAGGCACACCTGTATTTGGGGAGTTTCTCCCATTCTTCTCTGCAGATCCTCTCAAGCTCTGTCAGGTTGCATGGGGAGCGTAGCTGCACAGCTATTTTCAGGTCTCTCCAGAGATGTTCGATCGGGTTCAAGTCTGGGCTCTGGCTGGGCCACTCAAGGACATTCAGAGACATGTCCCGAAGCCACTCCTGCATTGTCTTGGCTGTGTGCTTATGGTCATTGTCCTGTAGGAAGGTGAACCTTCGCCCCAGTCTGAGGTCCTGAGCGCTCAGGAGCAGGTTTTCATCAAGGATCTCTCTGTACTTTGCTCCGTTCATCTTTCCCTCGATCCTGACTAGTCTCCCAGTCCCTGCCGCTGAAAAACATCCCCACAGCATGATGCTGCCACTACCATGCTTCACCGTAGGGATGGTGCCAGGTTTCCTCCAGACGTGATGCTTGGCATTCAGGCCAAAGAGTTCAATATTGGTTTAATCAGACCAGAGAATCTTGTTTCTCATGGTCTGAGAGTCCTTTAGGTGCCTTTTGGCAAACTCCAAGTGGGCTGTCATGTGCCTTTTACTGAGGAGTGGCTTCCGTCTGGCCACTCTACCATAAAGGCCTGATTGTTGGAGTGCTGTTGAGATGGTTGTCCTTCTGGAAGGTTCTCCCATCTCCACAGAGGAACTCTGGAGTTCTGTCAGAGTGACCATCAGGTTCTTGGTCACCTCCCTGACCAAGGCCCTTCTCCCCCGATTGCTCAGTTTGGCCTGGCGGCCAGCTCTAGGAAGAGTCTTGGTGGTTCCAAACTTCTTCAATTTAAGAATGATCGATGCCACGGTGTTCTTAGGGACCTTCAATGCTGCATAATTATTTTGGTACCCTTTTCCAGATCTGTGCCTCGACACAATCCTGACTCTGAGCTTTACGGACAATTCCTTCGACCTCATGGCTTTTTTTTTGCTCTGACATGCACTGTCAACTGTCCGACCTTATATAGACAGGTGTGTGCCTTTCCAAATCATGTCCAATCAATTGAATTAACCACAGGTGGACTCCAATCAAGTTGCAGAAACATTTCAAGGATGATCAATGGAAACAGGATGCAAATGACCTCAATTTTGAGTCTCATAGAAAAGGGTCTGAATATTTATGTGAATAAGGTATTTCTGTTTTTCATTTTTAATACATTTGCAAAAATTTCTAAGAACCAGTTTTTGCTTTGTAATTATAGGTTATTTTGTGTAGATTGATGAGGAAAATGTATTTTTTATCCATTTTAGAATAACGCTGTAACGTAAGAAAATGTGGAAAAAGGGAAGGGGACTGAATACTTTCCGAATACACTGTATCTTTCAGTGATGGGGGTAATAATATTTTGTTGCTTAAACGGTTCAAATGATAGAGTCACATTTGTAGGAAGAAAACAGAAACCACTCTGTTTATTACAACCGCATTGCGGTTACTGACAATTGTTTATGTTTTATTTATTTGTTTCTCTCATGACCCCATTTTCAAATCTGGCGACCCCACATAGTTTGGGAAACGCTGAATAGTAGTTGAGAACCAATATCTGCTCTGTGAAGTAAGTGGCGTAATGCATTTGCAAGATTACAGTTTCTCAACTTCTCAAGCATGTTTGTTGCTGAAATGAGGGAAACAGTGTTTACACACTAAATTGCGACTACCCATTTTTCAAATTAAATTATGTTCACAGTTTTAATTCACAGATTACACACCCATTCACTTCTTTGTATTTTCCAGCCTCACTTGCCATGCTTACAGCTTCACTGCACAGCAAAACAATGTATTTTCTATGCTCAAAATGGACTCCTCCCTCAGTGCATTTTCAATGAAAATACTTGCTATGTTTGCTTGTAAACACTGCATTTTTCATGAAACAGCTGCTGAAATAGCCTTTCTGATGAGAAACACAATTGATGAGAAACATGAAACAAATATGAGAAACAACATATTTCGAAACAACATATTTCAAAACAACATATATGTTGTTTTGAAATATGTTGTTTTGAAATATGTGGTTTCTCATATTTGTATATATAATAATTTTTCACATATCCACTACTCACCAGTTGAGCGTTTGGGGTCAGTTTGACTGCATTTGGGGTTGAAGAGCAGTCTATGCTCCCATTGGTGACTTTGAATGTCCTCAACCGATTTTATCTCCTCTCCTGTGTGTTTCCAATGTTCAGGCTTTTCTGTTGGTTTTGAGAGGAGCGTCTTTAGACAGTCACTTTAAGACTGACTTCCTTTGAGGGCTGGCCAGAGCCAGCGTGACATCACTAACAGTGTGATCTATGAGCCAATTCAGGGAGATTGCAATCACAACCAAACCCTAATTTCAATGTCCTCTGGCTCAGCTTTGCCACTATGCTGTATTGTGCAACACTGTCATCAAGGCAAAGGGTGGAATTTGAAGAATCTCAAATATAAAACATATTTTGATTTGTTTAACAATTTTTTGGTTTCTATATGATTCCATATGTGTTATTTCATGGTTTTGATGTCTTCACTATTATTCTACAATGTATCTTTCAGTGATGGGGGTAATAATATTTTGTTGCTTAAACGGTTCAAATGATAGTCACATTTGTAGGAAGAAAACAGAAACCACTCTGTTTCTTACAACTGCATTGCGATTACTGACAATTGTTTATGTTTTATTTATTTGTTTCTCTCATGACCCCATTTTCAAATCTGGCGACCCCACATAGTTTGGGAAACGCTGAATAGTAGTTGAGAACCAATACCTGCTCTGTGAAGTAAGTGGCGTAATGCATTTGCAAGATTACAGTTTCTCAACTTCTCAAGCATGTTTGTTGCTGAAATGAGAGAAACAGTGTTTTCACTCTAAATTGCGACTTCCCATTTTTCAAATTAAATGATGTTCACAGTTTTAATTCACAGATTACACACCCATTCACTTCTGTGTATTTTCCAGCCTCACTTTCCATGCTTACAGCTGCACTGCACAGCATTCAGAGACACACAGCTGGGAATAAAACAATGTATTTTCTATGCTCAAAATGGACAGCTTTGCCATTATGCTGTATTGTGCAACACTGTCATCAAAGAAAAGGGTGGAATTTGAAGAATCTCAAATATAAAACATATTTTGGTTACTACATGATTCCATATGTGTTATTTCATAGTCTCTTGCATTTCAAAATAATAGAAAACGCATGTTTTTTTGTTTGTATTATCTTTTACCAGATCTAATGTGTTATATTCTCCTACATTAATTTCACATTGCCACAAACTTCAAAGTGTTTCCTTTCAAATGATATCTAGAATATGCATATCCTTGCTTCAGGTCCTGAACTACAGGCAGTTAGATTTGGGTATGTCATTTTAGGCGAAAATAGAAAAAAAGGGTCCGGTCCTTAAGAGGTTTTAAGCAACATTTTACTCCTGAACTTATTTAGGCTTGCCATAACAAAGGGGTTTAATACTTATTGACTCAAGACATTTCAGCTTTGCATTTTTATTTCGATTGTAAAAATCTAGAAAAACATAATTCCACTTTGACATTATGGGGTATTAATTGTAAGCCATTGAGAAAAATATTCACAATTTAATTCATTTTAAAATAAGACTGTAACACAACAACATTTGTAAAAAGTCAAGGGGTGTGAATTCTACTGAAGGCATTTTAAGCAACTAATTCTAAAACACTGATAAATACTGAAATGTCATCAATAAAAAATTACATGACCCTCCCCTGGACTTGATTTAGAAAATAATAAATCCTCCCCCTGACAGAAATTGAAAAAGCATGTCTCTCCCACATTTTCCTCCAGGTCCCCGTTCTGTACATTTCTAACCATCCCTAAACACTGTTTCTGGTAAGAAATGATGGTATATTTGACAGACATCAGTAAATCAAGACAAAAACATAGTGGCACTCTACAACATCATTCGGTTATAAAAATAACCATTCAGTAGAATGAAGGCATTCTTTTTCCTACCTTTGTTTTGCACTAATGGATATTCAGTCATTTCAAATATGCATCCCACATACTGTAGCTACGGAACGTTTCTTAACACAACATATGGCTTGTTAATTACAGCTGTAAAATTCCAATGTCTAGTCTCCATTCGATTCACAGCCATGAAATCTGCTCCTGTTCTCCTTATTAGAGCCTTCTAGAAGGTGGGTTCCACTCTCTTCACCCATCGCTGGTCATGCCTCCCCGTCGGCTCAGCCTCATCTCCACCAGGCCCTGCTTATTGAGGGAGCTCTTGAGGGAGTTTCGGAACATGGAGCTGGATAAACAGTAGATGACCGGGTCCAGGGTACTGTTAAGGTAGGTAAAGCCAATAGACAGACTGAAGAGCTGCCCAGCCATGTTGTAAGACACACCGTCCCTGGGTCTGAACTTCGTGATATAGAGCCAAACCATCCTTGTGGCGATGCCGGGAAAGAAACACAGCACAAACACAGTCACGATCAGCCCCACCACCCGGATAGCCCGCCGCACCTTCTGCTCCTTGTCCAGCTGCCGTTGGCGCAGGATGTAGGCAATCTTGGCTGAGCAGAAGAGCAAGAGCAGCAGGGGCAGGAAGAATTCCCCGATGAACACCATGTAGTGTAACTGGATTGCCGGGGGAGTCACAGTGTTGGAGCTGAAGCTGCGACACAGGCACATGCTGCCTTCCTGCTTGAGGAGGTCGGTGGCCAGCAGGGGAAGCCGCAGGGAGATCACCACCGCCCAGATGACCCCCGCCACCCATCCTGCCTGGGTAGATGTCATGTGGTTGATGCGGTGGTGTGGGTGGACCACCTTGAAGTAGCGGTCGAAGGCAACGGTGATCATGAAGGCGATGCTGGCAGAGCGGTTGACAGCGAGCATGAAGAGGTTGATCCGGCACCAAGCTTGACCAAACACCCAGTGTTCCCCACGGAACTGGTTGTCGATGCGGAAAGGCAGGCAGATGAGCAGCAGGAAGTCAGCCAGGACCAGGTTAAAGAGGAACAGGGTGTTGGCCCTCCATGTCTTCAGATGACAGGTGAAGATCCACAGGGCCACTCCGTTGCCTGGCAGGCCCACTAGGAGATCTATAATCAGGACAGGAGGCAGTATGTTGGCCACCAGATCCTGAGTGGACAGGCAGTGGAAGGACTGGTTCAGTTTTCCAGTAGAGTTAATGTACGCTACTGTTGCTACTTCAGCCATCATTAGATTTATGTTTTTGCTTCCAGGAAACTTCTTTTCAAAGCATCTTGGGGATATCTGCACAAGCAATGCAAATGTGAGAAATTAATGTCAAATTTACCAGGGTAATACATTCAAGACAGACAGACAGACAAAGAGCTGATTTCTACCAATAGTCTGTTCATATGCCTACCACTTTGTTACAAAAAATGGGCTTGGGTAAGAGCTCAGCAAATGGCTGTGTCCACTTCAAATGCATCAGAAAGGTATTGGGAAGTTAAGAAGATCATCGGGGAATAATTTTGTGTCATTGATGATGTTCATTTTCCCCCAGTCTGATTTAAGGTCTTGTCCACTGTTCTAATGAGTCCTGTGCGGCTTGTGGGCATTGTAGAGGGAATAGAAGACAAATATGCATTCCTGAGAGTCTTACAGTGCATTCGGAAAGTATTCAGACCCCTTGACCTTTTCCACATTTTGTTACGTTACAGCCTTATTCTAAAATTGATTAAATTGTTTTTTTCCCCTCATCAATCTACACACAATACCTCATAATGACAAACCAAAAACAGGTTTATAGACATCTTTGCAAATTTATAAAACATATTTTGGTTACTACATGATTCCATATGTGTTATTTCATAGTTTTTATGTCTTCACTATTATTCTACAGTGTAGAAAATAGTACAAATAAAGAAAAGCCCTGGAATGAGTAGGTGTTCTAAAACTTTTGACCGGTAGTGTAAGTATTCACACCTTTTTGCTATGACACTCCAAATTGAGCTCAGGTGCATCCAATTTCCTTTGATCATCCTTGAGATGAGTCCACCTGTGGCCAATTCAATTGTTTGGACATGATTTAGAAAGAAACATACCTGGCTATATAAGGTCCCACAGTTGACAGTACATGTCAGAGCAGAAACTATACCATGAAGTCCAAGGAATTGTCCGTAGATCTCTGAGATAGAATTGTGATGAGGCATATATCTGGGGAAGGGTATAAAACAATTTCTAGTTTGTTTAAAGTTTCCAAGAGCACAGAGGTCTCCATCATTGGGAAATTGATAAAATATGGAACTACCCAGACTCTGCTTAGAGCTGGCCATCCTATCAAATTGAGCAACCGGGCAAGAAGGACCTTGGTCAGGGAGGTGACCAAGAACCCAATGACCACTCTGACAGAACTACATAGTTCCTTGGCTGAGATGGGAGAACCTGCCAGAAGGACAACAGTCTCTACAGCACTTCACCAATCTGGGCTTCATGGGAGAGTGGCCAGACGGAAGCCACTCCTGAGAAAAAGGCACATGACAGCATGCCTGGAGTTTGCAAAAAGGCATGTGAAAGACTGAGAGCACAAGGGAAAATATTTTGTGGTCTGATGAGACAAAAATTGAACTCTTTGGCCTGAAAGCAAAGCGTTATGTCTGAAGAAAACTAGGCACAGCTCATCACCTGTCTAATACCATCCCTACCATGAAGCATGGTGGTTGCAGCATCATGCAATGGGGATGCTTTTCAGCGGCAGGGACTGGAATACTGGTAAGGATAGTGGGAACAATGAATGGAGCCAAATAAAGGCAAATCATTGATGAGAACTTGCTTCAGAGTGCAAATGACCTTAGACTGGGGTGAAGATTTACGTTCCAACAGGACAATGACCCCAAGCACACAGCCAAAGCAACGCTGGAATGGCTTTAGAACAAGAATGTGAAAGTCCTTGAGTGGCCCAGCCAAAGCCCAGACTTGAATCCAATTGAAAATCTGTGGAAAGACTTGAAGTTTGCTGTTCACCACGGCTCCCCATCTAACTTAACAGAGCTTGAGAAAATCTGCCAGAATAAATGGGAGAAAACCCCAAATCCAGATGTGCAAAGCTGATACAGACATACCCAAGATGACTCAAAGCTGTAATCGCCACCGAAGGTGCTTCTACAAAGTATTGAATTACACTCTTAGAGAAAAAGGTGCTATCTAGAACCTAAAATGGTTATTCGGATGTCCCCATAGGAGAACCCTTTGAAGAACCGTTTTTGGTTCCAAGTAGAACCCTTTTGGTTCCAGGTAGAACCGTTTTGAGTTTCATGTACAACCCTTTACACAGAGTGTTCTACATGGAACCCAAAAGAGTTCTACCTGGAACCAAAAAGGGTTCTACATGAAACCAAAAAGGGTTATCCTATGGGTGCAGCTGAATAACCTTTTGGAACCCTTTTTTCAAAAAATGTAGGGGTGTGAATACTTATGTAAATGATATTTCTGTATTTCCTTTTCAATACATTTGCAAACATTTAAAAAAACATGTTTTCACTTTGTCATTATGGGGTATTGTGTGTAGATGGGTGAGGAAAACATCGATTTAATCAATTTTGAATTCAGGCTGTAACACAAAATGTGTAATAAGTCAAGGGGTATGAATACTTTCTGAAGGCACTGTACTTCCACATGACTGGGGGACTTTGCTTTATCTGAGGTATTATTGTCATTATGTCACGACTTCCGCCGAGGCTGCCTCCCCTCCTTGTTCGGGCAGGTTTCGGCGTTCATCGTCACCGGCTTACTAGCTACTACCGATCCCATTCTCATCACTCCACTTGTCATGTCTTGTCTTGTCAATCACACACCCCTGGTGCTCATTCCCCTAATTAGTATGTGTATAAGTGTTCCCGCTGTTCCCCTTGTCTTTGTGAGTGATTGTTTCTTTGTGAGAGCAAGTAGCTCGGTTACTCTTCCATTTGTTATTGCCAAGGTGTAATATTTCCCTTGTGATAGTTTCGTTTTGACACTTGGTGCGTTTTATTTATGTAAACGGAATAAACTCTGGACTTCTGTGTTTTACCTCCTGCGCCTGACTCCTTCATTCACACCTCATCACAGAATCACTCACCTGCTGAATGGAGTCAGCAGGAGATGACCGCATGCCTGGAGTTGTGGCAAGGGTCCAGGAGCATTCCTCGATGCTGGCCAGCTTGGGGGAAGCGATGGATCGGGTTCTTCAGGTAGTACAATGCCTGGAGAGGAGAGGACCCGATCTATCGAGACCAGCTGGTCAACCGGATCCAGCCACCTACACCCCAGCCCATGGAGGGATCCAGATATCCCGGCCACCGGCGTTTGATGGGACGGCAGCGCGATGTAAGGGATTTCTGCTCCAACTAGAGTTGTATTTCTCCAGCATCAGGCAGGTGCCACTGGAGTGGGAGAAGGTATCCATCCACATTTCCTGCCTTTGTTGGAGAGCCCTGGAGTGGGCCAACGTGGTGTGGAACGAGGGAGGTGCCGCTATGGAGGAATACGGGGAGTTTGCTCGCCTCTTTCGGGCCGTTTTCGATCACCCGAAGGCGGGCGAACGACTGGTCCATCTGAGGCAGGGGACGAGGACCGCACAGGACTACGCGCTGGAGTTACGGACGCTGGCAGTGGGATGGAACGAGCGGGCCCTGATCGACCATTTCTGGTGCCACCTAAGGGAGGACATCCGACGGGAGCTAGCCTGCCGTTATGCCATGCTATCGTTCTCCCAACTGGTGGATATGGCCATCCGGCTGGACAATCTGCTAGCAGCCAGAGGACGTCCTGGTAGGGGTCTGCACGTTCCCACTCCGGACGACTCTGACCCCGAGCAGATGGAGCTGGGGGGAGCCGCTGGTCGAGAGAGCGCAGGAGGACAGCGACAGTGCCACGAAGGGACAATACACCTCACATCGCAGTCAACGTTCCTTTGGGTCTGGAGGTAGGCAGTGTACTCACGCATCACCCCAGGTAACGAACACCCAAACTTGTTCAGAGCCCTTTGCGGCGCACTGTACCTTATCTATCTCCTTTCCCGATCACCTGGTAGTTTCCCAGTGTAAGCGCTAGTCGATTTAGGCGCAGCTGGGAACTTTTCATGGGCATTTGCATGCCGTCAAGGCATTTAATTGGTTCCCCTATCCATTCCACTACCCATCAGAGCACTTGAAAGTCGACCATTAGGGTCCAGGTTGGTTAAGGAGGTTACTGTACCAGTCACCATGATTACACAGGAGACGCATGTTGAGCAGATCATTTTTTTGATTATTGAGTCTCCTGCTTATCCTGTAGTCTTAGGTATTCCGTGGTTAGCCCTTCACAACCCAAATTTTTCATTACATTTACATTTTAGTCATTTAGCAGATGCTCTTATCCAGAGCGATTTACAGTTAGTGAATATATATTTTTTTATACTGGCCCCCCGTGGGAATCGAACCCACAACCCTGGCGTTGCAAACGCCATGCTCCATCAACTGAGCTACATCCCTGCCGGCCATTCCCTCCCCTACCCTGGACGACGCTAGGCCAATTGTGCGCCGCCCATGAGTCTCCCGGTCGCGGCCGGCTGCGACAGAGCCTGGATTCGAACCAGGATCTCTAGTGGCACAGTTAGCACTGCGATGCAGTGCCTTAGACCACTGCGCCACTCAGGAGCTTCATGGCCGCAGAGGGCCGCGACCGGGTTCTTACGGGGTGGTCGCGTGAGTGTCCGGGTAGGTGTCTAGGTGTTTCCGTTGGTGCGACCATGGTGGAAAGTCCAGACGGTAACCCCACCGTGCGCATCCCCCCAAATACCATGATCTGGCGCTCGCATTTTCCAAGACGCAAGCTACTAAATTACCACGTCATCGGGATGGGGATTGCTCGATAAACCTTCGGGTAGACTCTGTACCTCCCAGGAGTCATGCATATCCCCTGTCGCAGGCTGAGACGGAAGCTATGGAAACATACATCACCGAGTCCCTGCACCAGGGGTATATACGTCCCTCCACTTCACCTGCTTCCTCAAGTTTCTTCTTTGTGAAGAAGAAAGATGGCGGTTTACGCTCGTGCATTGATTATCGACCACTGAATAAGGTGACGGTACGATTTAGTTATCCTCTTCCCCTCATTCCTTCAGTGATTGAGTCAATGCATGGGGCCCGTTTTTTCACCAAATTAGACCTCAGGAGTGCCTACAATCTGGTGCGTATTCGGGAAGGGGATTAGTGGAAAACAGCATTCAGCACAAC